GATGTATCATGGTGGAATAATACTCTACTAGAGTATTAGTAACTCGTTTCATTGCGACTTTTAAAGAACTTGGGGTTTTCAGAACGATATTAATATTTGAAATTGATGGATTTGTATTCAACAACTTTTATTGAGCTCGAGGCAGTTTTTAATCAAAAACTTATTGGGGAAAAGCAACAATAATTTGAAAAAATGGTAGAAGTGATAGCTATTTCGGAAATCACCACATTTCTTCATCAGACTTCTTTCAGTAGGATTCGAACCGACGATCCTACTGACTCAGCCAGTTGCCTACGCACTGTGCTAAGACCGACTTGCAAATTATCGTTGCTTTTTTCCCACTTTTTCATTTTTGCTAAGGCAACACAATCAAGGCCAGCTATTCCGCTACGATTTACACTTGATCATGTGGTTGTTGGTTTTCGTTAATAATTCTATTTTTAGAATGATTAACTTTTTTCAAATTATTGTTGCTTTTTCACAATAAGTTCTTCATTAAAAACGACATCGACCTCAATAAAAATTGTTGAATATAATTGTTATAAGGCCATGAAATAACAAAAACATTGAAGGATTTGTATAATTTTTGTCCTCAAAATGTAAAAAAAATAAAAGATATCGTGGTTATCAATGGAAAAAACGTAAACAAAAATCGTATAGAAAGGCGATTTTTTATATTAAATAACTTTTGCTGCATTGTCATAATATTGAGTCAAATAGACTACTGATACGCTAGAATAGAGTGACTGCATGGTTAAATTAGGAGTCCGCTTATATTATCGATATTTATGTTTTTTAGTCTATTTAAAAAGTCATTTACTGTCTTATAGGAAATTGCCTTATTTTACCGCCTTTAATTTTTTAAAGCTACAATATATGTCCAAGCTGTGTGGAGCTGCCGATACAAACATATATTCAGGGCATAAATCACGTAACTTTGAAACGATAGTCGCTCGAACGATACTAACAAAATTACGTCCTCAAAACACTGATTTATGCATTTGTGCAATACTTGGTTTTCATGAAGCAAGACAATCTCGACACGATATCGTTCAGACGATTGTCGTCATACGTGATTCATGCCCTGGCTTATAAGCCTGTAATTAAACATTTTTCTACATTTAAGGCCTGTATGCAGCTCTCAAGAAAAGCAAAAACTCCGTATAAAATGACGTAAAAGAAATGGCTAAGAAATTTTCTTGAGTCAAATTTCCTTAAGGCAGTACGCAGCTCTTAAGAAATTTACTACGCTTTCTACTACGGTTTTCTAAAGTTTTTTTGTGAAAAAAGAGCACAAGGCAACCCGGGTTTGCAACAGAAATATATGCCCGTTGCATTATTTCTTGAGGAAAGAGTGAGGCAACAGGCTGTGAAGTATCAAAAATGTCAAAATTCCTTGGACACACACGCGAAATAATGGGAATTTTTTCTTGACCGTTTTCTTGAGAGCTGCATACAGGGCTTTAATTTGAAATAGTCTGCACCAACGGATTAAAAGTAGTAAATAATTAATACCTTTTCTACTACTTTAAAATGCGTGACCGGAATAGACCTGCCGAAAAAGTGAGGTTAAGTAACTGACCACACCTTGTTATTATTCCACCATGCAGATGTATCTAAAATGGTGTGCTTGTACCGAATATATTTTCATATTCAAAAACGGGTGCAAAAGTATAATTGCATTTGCACTTCCATCACTGGGAAGCAATAGCCGTGTACGTGCGCGCGCGCGTGTTTGTAAAGCCTGATATACAGTTCAATGCGAGAGTGAGCGTGAGCTTTTTATTTTGACCAATATCATCGTTATTACTTAACTTTTTGCAATAGTGTATGCATCAAAAGATAGAGAATTAAAATATCTTTCAGAATTATAGAATAAAAACAAATTTAAGATGCATAAGATGCCTTTTTTCAAGCTCACACTCCACTGTGTGCGTACGCAAAGCATTCGCATGTGAACGACAAGTTTTGACAGATGTGTGTGAGCGTCCATAAGAATACAAATGGAATTCTTTGCCTTTCCGAAAGTTCACGCTCACGCTCGCATTGAACTGTATATCAAGCTTAAAGAACATAGCAAAGCGCTGCAGATGTGAAGTGCGTTGTTAAAAAAGTTCGGAATTTGGAATTTAATGTAAACTTAATTTCATTAGGAATATGTACATATAAATTACTTTTTTTTTTTTTTCAGAGGAGGATGCATCGAAAGCCTAACCCCGAAAAAACCGTCAGTGTGAGACTTTAACCCACTAAACCTCCTACCGTCTATGTACCGATCCCCCCGGCACCCCCGTTAAGTATTTCGTCGGGAGGCGGTTTGAGCACGGAGCTCTACGTCCGTTACTGTTCACATGATTCCACCCACAGTTCGTCTTGGTTTGGTATTAAACCTACCCACCCCCTTGGTATTTTACAACTAAGAAGTTCGTTTCTAAGTCTAGTAATGTCCGGGTGCAGCGATTTATTGCTGCTTATACAATTTTTTGAGAGGTTTGCCCTCTTCGTGCCGTAACTTTTCTAGGAAAACGGGCTTTTTAACTGGCCTGAGCCAGATAGAATGCCACTGCTTCCTGTCGTTCTTGCCTACGCATCACTTGCTCGCTGTTGCGAAGTTGCTGCACAACTAAGGCACAAGTGGCTTTAAATTCCTTCCAAGCGCATTGGCTTTGCAATGCCAGAGGGACTAGTGTTTCGGGTGTAACTACGCTGCCGACACGTTCATTAAGCTTTTCTCTCTGGGTGCTGAATCGGGGACACGAAAAGAGTACGTGTTCCGCATCCTCTATTTCATCAGGACCACAGTAGTCGCAATATGGAATGCTTTCATGTCCAAAGCGGTGAAGGTAGGCCTTAAAACATCCATGCCCGCTAAGGATTTGTGTTAGGTAGAAATCTACCTCACCGTGCTGTCTGTGGATCCATACATCGATATTAGGGATGAGGCGACGTGTCCACCTGCCTTTTGTTGCGCAACCCCACCTCGCTTGCCATTGCGATATGCTGTTTTGTCGCTATAAAGAGGTGCGAGTTTCGTGTTCCTCGTGCTTATCCTTTCTTTTTTCAACTGCTTCCTGCGCCAATAGATCAAGTGGGAGCATCCCGGAGATGACAAGTGCTGCGTCTGAAACTGTTCTGTATGCAGAGCATACTCTTAATGCGCATAACCGAAGAGTTGCGTTCATGCGTGGGACCTCTAGGGCTCGTAATGCGTGAAGAATTTCCTTCCAAGAAGCACTATTAAATTCACTTTTTACATCTAGCGTAACAACCAGGCAGTATTCGTTTATGCCTCCTAGCCAACGTTTGCCTTCAATCGCTTTTTCCGCTATGGACTTTGCCAGTTCGATCGCATCAGTCGTAGAGCGCTTTTTTCTAAAGCCAAACTGGTTCTCTGATAGATGCCTTTCTACATGAGTTTCTAAGCGGTTTTTAATTATCTGCTCGAATAGCTTCCCCGTGGAGTCGAGCATACACAGTGGCCTGTAATCAGAAGGTGCCGATGGATTTGATTTTTTCGGTATAAGGACCAGTTGCTGCTGTTTCCAGATGTTCGGGAATATGCCCTCTTGAAGGAACGTATTGAAAGCGCTAGCAAATGTGCACGGCTTTGTCTCAATGGCTTTTTTAGGGCTATATTCGGGATCCCATCGGGCCCTGGAGCTTTGTTGAGAGGTATGTTTCTGCCAACTCTCAGGATCTCCTCAATGGTTATGCAAGGGATAGCAGTGAAAGCACGGGGCGTTGGCCTTATGAAATCGGGTTGAGCGGGAAAGAGGACCTGTACGATTTGAGCCAGCAGAACAGGGCATGTTGGTTGTGTTGTGCGTTTTAGCTTTTTCATGACTATCCTGTAGGCGGGTCCCCACGGGTTATTGCTAATATCTTCACACAGATCGCTGAAAATTTTGCGCTTGCTGTCGCGTATTGCGTTTTTTAAGAGCTTTCGCTTTTCTTTATAGACCAGCCTAGGCTCAACGGCATTTGCTTCGTTGCGTGCGCGAACACGCTGACACACTCTTCTGGCCCGGTTGCATTGTACTCGCAGATCGCCAATTTCATCATTCCACCAATAAGCGGGTTTGCGTGTATTGTGTCGTTTCCTTCTCGCCATCGAAATATCGCATGCACTTTTGAGTGCTTTCATCAGTTCTTTCGGCGCTTTCTCTACGGTGGAGGTTATTTTTACTTCACCGAAGACTATTTCGAACAGCTCTTCGTCGAAGTTTTTTGTTTTCCACCCGTGGCAGGACTTGCAGCGGTGTTGTTGCGGCTCTGTTTTTCAATGCTTATGATTATGGCCTTGTGATCGCTTTGCGTGTAAGCATTGCTTATGTACCAGTTTGTGGTTCTGCTTAGTCCTCCACTTATAAAGGACAGGTCGATGACTGATCCTGTTCCGTTCCTGGAGAAAGTATCTCCATTTCCGCTGTTCAGAAGTATGACATTTAGGGCTGCCAGTGAGTTGAGAAGCTCTCTTCCTTTCGAATTAGTCCTTCGGCTTCCCCATTCTACCGCCCATGCGTTAAAATCGCCTGCTATAAGCACTGCACTCCTCATCTTAGCGTCGTTGACTAATTGATCAACGATGGTGGTGAAACTTGCTAAGTCCGCACTGGGTGGTATGTAGCAGCTATAAACATAAATGTTATCTATTTTAACGCATACATAGCCGTTTGTGGATGCGATTGGGGCAAGGTGCTTAGGGGGAGCTCCGCAGCTCCATATCGCGCACCTACTGGTTGTGTTGCTAGCCGAAGACGCTTCGCTTTTATTCTTATATTGTTCGCTAAGGATCGCAATATCGATACCAAGTTCGTATACGGTTTGGTTGAGCAGATCTTGCGCTGCTTGACAGTGATTAAGGTTCAACTGCAGAAATTTCATTGGTGATGTTATTTTCCTCTTCCACTTTGGAAGACGGCGCACATACGACTACCGGTCGCGTGTCTTGTACTACTTTCGTCAGCTTTGGCACTGGGGGAACAAGATGGTGAATTTTTTCAGTCTCTAGCCTTGTGATCCTTTCCTCCGCATCTAAAACATAGCGCGGATCGGTCCTCTGCGCTCTTACAGTTTCTAGACATGTGCCCATAATCATGACACCTATAGCATCTCGCCAGAACTTCTTTAAACCTTATTCGGCAATTGACCCAGCCTATGCGTATTTTGGCTTTTTCTACTAGCTCTCGGGTAATCGCTGAGGGCAGGCTAAGGGTGCATATTTGCGTATCCCCATAGGCAGCGCACATTGAGCGGATTACCGTTGGTTCAAGATTAGTACCACCAAGGCATTCGATCAATGCTTCGCACACCTCGTCTTTCGTCGTTACCTCATCTATATCCTTCACTTCTAGAAGAGACTCTTGAGTAAGCGAGCGCACATGGGCGCTTTCCCCAAGTATATGCTCAACCGCAGTTTTAAATTTCTGGGTAGCAGGGTCGTCTTGTTTTTTCAGCTCAAACAGCAACTCATTTTTGGCCGTCTTTCGGATGTTCTTGACATTAGCACTAAGTTCTTTCAGTTCAGGTTGCGACTTTATTTTCTTTAATATGTCGGCATACGATTGTTCACCAGCCTTCTTTACTATGATCGCATCCGGCTTGGTTGGCTTAGTCTTAGCTTTAGTTTTACGCATCTTTACTTCAGTCCACTGCTCCTCCGATTGGCTGGATGCAGGGCCTGTTGCCGCGCTTTGATCTGTAGGCGGTGCCCTACCTTGGGTTTTTGTTATTCCCTCGTTGTTAATCTGCAGCGGTTGTTGTTGTAGCTTCCGACCAATTAGTTCTTTTGAAGATGTAGATGTAACCAGCGTTGCCGTTTTGGTCCAATTGGACCAAAATTGGTAGGCTCATTATCCTTTGGTAGTTTGGTTAGTAGGCTTATGGTTGGCAAAAGTGAAATTGCAACCAAATTGAGCAATAAAATTTGTTTGCTTAAGATTGCATACTGCCAGTGCTATCTACTATTTATAGTAACTCTAAAAATATCTATGAATGGTAACCCTGTATTCATAGCAAGCAAAGGAAATAATGACAAGAGAAAGAGTGAAAGAAAGATGTTAAATGTCAAAAACTTGGCATTTGCGCGCCTTTCTTCAATTGAATTTAACAAACAAGCGAAAAGATTAGTGATGGACAAGTAAGTTAATTTTGCTTTAAATTTGTTACTTTTTAATCGTTGTTTATTTGCAGGTATTTCTATAAAGCCTCTAAACCGTCCGAAGTAAGTGTGGACAATAATAACGACGACTTGTTCAGGTAAAAAATTGCGACTAAGTAGGTATGTACATATGTGTTAATTAACAAATACTGAAAATTCTCGTAGTGATGAAAACTCGCTTGCGCCCAAAAACCAAACTCAGAAATAAACTAAACATCACTACAATAAATAGTATTATGCTCTGTAAAGAACTAGTACAAAAGGCTGATACACATTACGTGTGGTCAGCAAAAGGAGATCTCAAAGATGTATGATTTTTTTACAAACGTTTTGTATACAATCAGGGGATATAAAAACTTTGTTTTTGATATAACATAGGATATAAAAACTTTTTCTTTTTAAACGAATAAAATGCTTGAAATTGTATTGTCAAAGAAAATAAAACGTTTGAAATGAATTGAATTGATCTCAAAGATATACATATATACTCGGTACGTTTTTTTTACAAACGTTTTGTGTACAATATTTTTGATACTTAGGTTGTTCACACTTGCTTGGTTATCAGGTTATCTGGTTAAAAATTATTATTCTGTAGTATATTTTATTGTTGTAAACTGAATAAAAAATATAACCACATAACCAGATAACCTGATAACCAAGCAAGTGTGAACAACCTAACTATTATTTAACCGCATAAAATGTCTGAATTTGTTGTTTTATACATCAAAATTTTGATATGAATTGAATTAATATCAAAACCATATACAATGCTTATAACTGTTTTTTATACGATACGTTAATTAATTTATTTAAACGCCCGAATTTATTTTGTGTAAATTTCAAGTATTGCATGATTGGATAACCAACTGTAGCACAGAAACCATATTATTTGGTATTTTAATTTATACCTACTGTTAATCTGCAAAACCTGTAAATTTAATAAAATCTCGTTTTATTGATCAAAAATTTTTTGGTAGTTTGCAAACTGATTTGGTATTGGTGTTGCTTTGGTTTCTGACAATGCACGCGAATTCATCTTACGTTCAGCCAAAGCTCTTTCATGTTGCTCTTGCATAGCAGTGCCAAGCTCTTTCATGCGTATGTTGACACGGCTCTGAACTTCGATCATGTTGCTAAGCTCACGGATCTTCTCGCCTAGTAGTGTGAGTGCATCCTCTCTCCTCTCCATCAATTACTTATTCACGTACATATATATCCTTAAGTTTTTGTTTAGCAATATTACAATTTAAATTGATATTTCTGCGGGCAATTGCACGCTATAACTAAATATACTTACAAAAAAGAATTATCAGCCCTGTTCTGCAATCCGAGTCGGAATCGCATCGGAATCGGAATTCAATTCCGACTCGGAATTGAAACGGTGTTCCACAAGCAGATCGGAACTGTTGTTTCGAAGTTAACATCGAATCCGATTGTGAAAAAAGGAACAAACCTCCAATCTGTCAACTTTGTTTTGAAGTGTGTCAATTTCATTTGGATAAATAAAACTGAAAAAATAAACATGAGTTTTATTGGCGATTTTGCTGAATAATGAGCATCAAACATTTGAAAAAGTAAGGCGAAAAATTTTGCGCGGTCACAGCAATCTCATGGAATTACCGGACTCAGCGTTAGTAGTATAAAATTGTTTTTTTATATACTAACGCCATTTCAAACTATTAATTTATATTTTACAGCTTTATTGCACTCTAAAGAATAAATAAACAAGCGTTCCTCATGATTTTGAGAGACTTGCAGCCTTTTGTACAAAGCAGCCCCATTCCCGCAGTGTTGGGAAGTTGGGAGCAAGGCTGCGATTCCCAGCCGAAGGTGGGTATCAAAGGTCCGTTGGAATGGACCCAAGCATCGCTTTGGGAAGGAGCACCGTCTCCAAAATAATTTCAGAAATAATTACGCTACTGGAGCGGAGACTTTGCTCAAAGTGGATAAAATTGTTCATGCCTGAGCAAGATAAAGGAGCCGCCAAAAGTTCTTTCTACGAACAATTTGGTATTCCGGGTGTGATTGGATGTATTGACGGCACGCACATCAAGACGGGTCTGCTTTTTTTAACAGAAAAGGAAATTTTGGCATTAATGCAATGATTGTAAGTTACCACAATTACTTGATTTTATAAGGAAAAAAGTTTTCGTAAAATTTGTTTCCTATTTATTTCAGATTTGCGATCTTTAATATTATTAGAGCAATTGATGCTTGTCATCCCGGTTCTAGCCATGACTCCTTTATATGGAGCATGAGCAATGCAAGACACTTTTTCATTACGAAGTATCGAGATGGTGATCACAGTTCGTAGTTAGTGGGCGATGCCGGGTTTGCTCTGGAACCTTTTCTATTAACACCATATAGAAATCCAGAACCACGGTCTATACAACACGCGTTTAACGAAACACATTCTTCGGCACGTAATATAGTTGAACGAACAATTGTAGTTCTTAAAACTCATTTTCGGGGTTCATTAGAAACCTTGCAGTACAAACCAAAAAAGGTTGTGAATATAATTAATGTATGTGTTGCCTTGCATAATATTTGTCGCCACTATAATCTTGAATATGACTATGGTGAACCTGAAGAAAACGCCGAAGCGAAGAAGATAGTGAAGTAGATAGATTTGTACCAACAGACATTAACTTGCAAAGTGAAGCACAAGAATTAGAGACGAAATTGCGAATAAAATTATATAATGTATTAATAAAAACAAGTATATTTAATAAAAACAAGTACTGTAATTATAAATAAACAATTTCCACAAAAAAAAACTAAACATTTAAAGACTTTTTACTTTTTTAAAATTCGAACCGTTCTAAATCTATTTCAAGCTGCCGCAGTTTAATTTGGTTTCTTTCCAGCAATGCTTCTTCCACTTTTTTATAGTGATTATTCATGTTGCTGCGGATGTTTTCTATAGTGGCATTAATTTTGTCTAAGCCGCGGTAAACTCGTCTGACGCCGCTCTCGGTGTCTTTTTGATTTTTCGCCAGCGCTGCTATTCTTCCGGAAAGACTTTCATCGAATTTGTTTTCCGCTTGCATGAATGCCTTCACGGAATCCTTAAAATCGGACTGTAACCACGCCCACTTCCCATATACCGGTATTTTCGAAAAATGCGAAAACTACAATGTTTCAGTAAATATTCAATCGAAATTGTTGAAAATTAGCATGTGAAGTGGAATTATGGTAAAAACTAATATTATTATAAATTGTTTGGAAAATGGGCGTGACTCCGCCCACTTATGATGAAATGCTGTATCTCTGTAGCCGCTTCACCAGTCCCTACCAAACTGGGTCCGAGCCTTGCTTAGGATCGAACAAATCTATTGAAAATCTTTGAAATCGGGCTATAACCACGCCCACCTCCCATATAACGGTAATTTATAGAAACACGAAAACTGCGATAAATCAGTAGTTATTGAAGCTAATTCACTCAAACTCGACGGTTGTAATAATCACTTAGCAGCAAATTTTATTATCATAATAACTTAATAATAATAATAGATTGGCGCTTACACATATGTTAGTGTTTGGCCGAGCTTCTCCTCCGAATTGTGGCGTGCGCCTTGATGTTGTCACACAAAGCAGAGGGACCTACAGTTTTACGCCGACTCCGAGCGGCGATTGTATTTTTACGAGAAGCTGTTTTTCATGGCAGAAAACACTCGGAGGTTTGCCATTGCCTGCCGAGGGACAACCGCTGTTAAGAAAAAACCTTTTTTTCTTTATTTTTTGCGATGTTGCTTTGACCAGGGCTTGAACCCAGGTGTTGCGGAGTGGAAGCGCGCACTGCTTACCACTACACCACAGCGGACGACAACTTATGACCACAAATATTTATCTCGGTAACCGATTCATCAAATTCAACTAAAATTGGTGCACCTTATAATCTTGGTACGAAAAAACCACTTGTTGAAAATTATTGAAATGGGACTAAACTTACACCCCCTTCCCATATAACGGTAAATTTCAAAAATACGAAAACTCCGATATTTCAAAAACTGAGGCCACTAATTTACTCCCAGTTAAGACTTACAACAGTCTCTTAAAAATAAACAAGCATGTTATAGACTTTTAGGAATTGGACGTGGCACCGCCCACTTTATGACTAAAAAGGTTGACCTCATTCATTCAATAATTTCATTAAGTCAGTATATTAGAAAAAACGTTTGGAATCGGGGAAAAACACCCCCGCTTATCATGCGCCGGGTATATAAAATCCAGGGACCGTAAATAGCAAATATTTTTTCAACAGTTAAACTTGGCCAGATATTTTTTAAGTCCGAAATAAAAGTCTTTCCGGATAGTAAACAAACCGCCTATCCAAATTAAAAAAATTTGTTACCAAATGTAAGAGGACTTAAAAAGCTTTTAAATAGAAATAACGAACGAAGGCTACCACTTCTATTTATATTTATTTTTAAAAGCTAATACAAAAGAAATGCATATATCTGACCCACGGTTTTT